TTGTCTAACCCCATACACAAAAGTAAATTCGAAATGGATCAAAGACCTGAATGTAAGTCATGAAACCATAAAACTCTTAGAAAAAAACATAGGCAAAAATCTCTTGGACATAAGTATGAGCAACTTCTTCATGAAAACATATCTCCTTGGGGAAGGGAAACAAAAGCAAAAATGAACAAGTGGGACTATATCAAGGTGAAAAGCTTCTGTACAGCTAAGGACACCATCAATAGAACAAAAAGGTACCCTACTGTATGGGAGAATATATTCATAAATGACAGATCTGATAAAGGGTTGCCATCAAAATATATAAGGAGCTCACGCACCTCAGCAAACCAAAAGCAAATAATCCAATTAAAAAATGGGCAGAGGAGCTGAACAGACAGTTCTGCAAAGAAGAAATTCAGATGGCCAACAGACACATGAAAAGATGCTCCACATCGCTAGTCATCAGAGAAATGCAAATTAAAACCACAATGAGATATCACCTCACTCCAGTAAGAATCGTCACCATCCAAAAGACAGACAACAACAAGTGTTGGCAGGGTTGTGGAGAAAGGTGAACCCTCCTGCACTGCTGGTGGGAATGTAAATTAGTTCAGCCACTGTGGAAAGTAGTATGGAGGTTCCTCCAAAAGCTCAAAATAGAAATACCATTTGACCCAGTAATTCCACTTCTAGGAATTTACCCTAAGAATGCAGCAGCCCAGTTTGAAAAAGACAGATGTACCCCTATGTTTATCACAGCACTACTCAGAATAGCCAAGAAATAGAAGCAACCTAAGTGTCCATCAGTAGATGTATGGATAAAAATGTGGTACATATACACAATGGAATATTATTCAGCCATAAGAAGAAAAGAAATCCTTACATTTGCAACAACATGGATGGAGCTAGAGGGCATTATGCTCAGTGAAATAAGCCAGGCAGAGAAAGACAAGTACCAAATGATTTCACTAATATGTGGAGTATAAGAACAAAGAAAAACTGAAGGAACAAAACGGCAGCAGAATCACATAACCCAAGAATGGACTAACAGTTACCAAAGGGAAAGGGACTGTGGATAATGGGTGTGAAGGGAGGGATAAAGGCAGGGAAAAAGAAAGGGGGCATTACGGTTAGCATGTATAATTTGTGGGGGTTGGGGGTGCATGGGGAGGGCTGTACAACACAGAAGACAAGTGGTGATTCTACAGCATCTGACTACGCTGATGGACAGTGACTGTAATGGAGATTGTGGGGATGACTTGGTGAAGGTGGGATCCTAGTAATCATAATGTTCTGCATGTAATTGTAGATTAATGATAACAAAATAAAAAAAAAGAATGGAAGGAGGCAGAAGTCCTCATGGTGTGGATTCAATAAAGGATGTGAGGAGAGGAACCTGGAGACAGTGAATGTGGTTAACCCTTTCAGGAATATTGGTAGAAATGGGAGCATAAACATCAGGCAGTAACTAGAGAAGGATATGGAGTCACGGGAGGCTTTTTTGTTTTTAAGATAGAAGTCACAGAATAAAACAGTACTGAGGGGAAAAATGATGCTTCTTGAGAGTCGGATAAGAGGTGCTAGAGATGTCCATGAGAGGGTAAGATTAAGAAGCATGGAGGATTATGATATTGGGGCTAAAAGGACTTAATATCATTAAGCAGGATTCTGCTTTTTCTTCTGAGCACTTATTTGCACTTAAATTCATTTCAAACTTCTGCTCTCTATTAGAAGTTAGGAAGGGCAGATAAGAAGCAGTAAAACAGTGTACATAACAGTATTAGCTTGATATAGTAGAAGAGAAGAGATTGAATCTTGTGTGTCAGGTGACATTTTAAAGTGTCTTTGAATGACAATTATCTATGCTATTCTAGTCCCTTATCAGAATTTATGATTGAGCACAGACTATAAAGTTAATAGATTAAAACTTGTAGTGGGATGAATTTTAGCCTAATTTTAAACATGATCTAGTGTTGAACTTTTTCTCTGCAAAATTTCTTTGTTTAATATATATTCTTTACATACAAAGGTTTTAGGTATTTTACAAAAGGTATTTAAAAAGTAGTTATTAATCTCCTTTGATTTATTGATTATATTTTAAATTTTACAACCATATCAGAAATCAAAATGATTCATTTTTTTTTACTGACTCTAAATAAAACAGCTACCTGAAGTTCTGGAGAGGTGAACAATCTTCAGTTTGAAAAAATCATACAAAGTTTTTTTAGCAAGATAATATTCATCTCTAAAAGCAAAAGTAATTTCATCTACTTCAGCTTAAGTGTTCTGAGTGTATTTTTTAAGAACAAATCTGTATTTTAAAAATACAAGCAAATATAGTTAAGTTTTTGAACTACCTTAGCTACAAGTGTGAAATATATGTGAGAAACAAACTAAATAGATTTTCAGTCAGCTTAATATGAGGAATGAAACTTGCATTTCAGACTTAAATACATTTTGCCTATCAATAATGTGAAAAGTGAAAATTTATATATAAATATTTTGCTGCTCATTAAATTATAGAAATAAAATACTTGCTTTTCTTTTTTTGTTAACTTCAAATGGTAGTCAATAAGTTTTCAGAAGAAACACTTTTGTAGTTCTGATGCATATAGTGTTTAAACATCACTAGTCTAAAAATAATTTACTCTTTTTGGTATTTAACCTCTTTGTGAATATTATTAACATTGTGGATTCTCTTAGAATTCTCATACACACACAATTTAGCATATAGTATAATGGAGTTGGCAGACTGGGATCCCTTAGGCATATAGGTTCCGGGTTTTAAAACCCGCCCTAGAAAGCTTGCTTATATGATTTTTCTTTAAAACTATATGCAGACTTCTTAAAAAATAAAAATATGCCAGTATTTATTGTAGTTTTTTTTTAAGAAGAGTAATTGCTGCAGCTAGTTAAGAGGAAGTGAAGTTTAGTGGAAAGGCCAGCTCAGTCAAAGGATCTATAAGCTTTACTCCAGCTTTACTACTGATTGTTGTATGACCTTTTGGGAAGTCACTTAACCTCTCAGGCTTTGATTTCCTGTGAGTTTTGCAGTACTTGCAAGAAATTTTATGAGTAGTTTGTGGTATCATGGTAAAATTCTTTATCAATTAGGGACTGACTCTGCTACTGCTTTTGTGGGGAAAATGTCCTGTAGATAAGATGTATGTCTATTGTGCCTTTTTACTGAATATGACTTTTCAGATGAGTTTATGTGACTTGACTTTCTCAAATGCCATGTAAGTAAAGTTAAAATCCTAATCCTAACCTGGTCACTGTGAGTTTCAACATATTTTATATATTTTGGGTATATGCCACTGTTATTAATATGTGTTAAAATTATCATCTGTAATTCTGTGGCTTGCTTTTTCTTTCTTGGTGGTGTTTCTTGATGAGCAGAAGTTCTTAATTTTAATGTAGTCCAATTTATCAATTGTTTCCATTCTGTTATATTTTAAAATGGCTTTTTATCCTGATAAGCTGTTTTTATCCCAAGTCATTCACTTAACAAATAATGAAGTGGGAGATCTATGCATAAGAAATTATTCCCAGCATGAAAGAGCTAACAAGAAATGCCTAATAGGGAAAATAAGGTTCCACTCAGTCTAATTAATTCATTTAATAAATATTTACTGAACATTTACTATGTGCTTGATACTTTTTTAATTGGTACAGAGCTTTGGAGGTATGTGTAGTGTTAAGAATCCACTTTTTAAAATTGAGGTATCAGCATATCACATATTTTAGGTGTACAACATAATGATTTGATATATATGTGTATTGCAAAATGATTACCACAGTAAGTTTGGTTAAAATCCAATACCACACATAGTTACAATTTTAATTTTTCTGTGAGAGAATCCACTTTTAAATAATCATATCATTTTCTACAGACTTAGGCATGATTTTTCTTTTAGTTGAGAGTCATTCTAATTTTTGTGATGAAAATTGCCATGTGTGAGGGCTTTTAGAACTTAGGGAAGTATTCCTGCTAAAGAAAAGGCAGGATAAAACAGCAAGTTGACTTTCTTTTGGAAATGACTTGATTTCATGAATTGGGGCCTTTTAAGTTATTTTACTCTATGTTATGATTGTACATGATTAAATAAAAAATTATAATCTGGATGACATGAAGAGTTTTTGAAATATCCCTTGAGTAATGAGGACACTTTTGAAGGAATGTCAGTGAACATAGTAAAGCATAGGCAGATACTTAACAGTATTAGAGCATGGTATGTGGAGTTTAAAAATTATGGGAAAATTTAAAATTGTTATCTAATTTTTTTTAAGTAAAAAGTAAGTTGGGCAGGGGAGAATAAAAAATAAATAGTATAGCCTGACTTGACTTTCCTGACCTTGAACTTTATGGAGTTTGGTTAATCTTAAAAAAATGCAATTGATAAAAGCATCACTGAACATTGGGTTGGGATCCCAAAACCTTGGTTTTCTTTCTGGTTCTATCACTGATTAAGTATGTGGCATAGGGAAAGTCAGGTTTATGATGTGGTTTACAGTCTAAAGTAGTGAGATTTTAAGAATGTGAATGAACAGTTTGATTAAAAATTGTGACTATACATATAAAATGCTGTGAATTTTATAAATCCATTTCAAGATTAATTAAAAAAGGGTCTCTTAAGGAGACCAAACTAAAGGCCAGTGATGTTAGCTTATAAATATAAAGTTACAGTGAGGGTCATTTGTGTGGAATGTTTATGTGAGGTACATTCCATTTTTGTGTGTCTTTTAGGAAACCATCAACTACTTAACTTTTCGTTGTCTTGAAAAAACTGTGGAAAAGGGAAAAAACTGAAATATTAGAAATTTAACTGTCCTTGAGTTCTTTCCTTGCTGTAAAAACTACCTTTTTTTTTCTTTTTGGGTTTTAAGCTTTGGAGATTTTTGCGTTTTGTTTTTTTCTTCTTAAAATCAGAAATCTTTAAGTCTAGCTTTTGATGGCATGTCATAAATCTGTGTTTGTAGTCTAATTCCGTTTTCCCCTTCTTCTGTTGTAGGGAGCAAGAAACCTGAAAGAGAGCCAGTTTTCCCAAAATTGGTAAGTAATTTTACCAGGCATAGTATGCCTGATGCTAGTTGGATAATCATTCAGGTGTTCAGTGTCTTTTTGTTTTTTTCAAAAAAACCCTCCCTCCCAACCCCAAATGAGGCTTTGCTGTTTGCCCTGAGTGAAAGTGAATTTTTGTCTGATTTCACTTGGCCATATCTCAAATACGTTTGTGTTTCTAATAATACTGCTAGGCTTGCATGTTCCTGCATTTGATAACCTGTTAAAATGTAAAGGTCCCTTTTGCCAGAATGTCCTTAATGCAGTAGTTACAGCTGAAAATTTAAGTCAGGATATTTGAAAGTTAAGGTACCCATTGTGTTTTGTATTACTTAATATGCTATAAAATTTGATGACCTTAGTATATGTGCAAAATGGCTAGGTTAATTTAACTATGGGAACCTTGACTTTGAAATTTGGGACTCTTAAGTATTTATAGTCTTAAATTTAATGTTGCTTTGCTTCATGTCTGATATTACATTTTTAGTGTCTGTTGTTTTGTATAGTTCTTAAAGAGGAAAAAAATAGAGAAATAGAAAAAAAAATAGAGAAGCAGCAGTGTGGGATGTACATGCAAATACATTTTCCCCCTAATACTTACTTTAATATCTTCTTTAGCAATGTATAAATCATGACACTTAATAATTTCTTTGAATATCTAATTCAAGATCATTGATTGCATAGGGCAGTCCAGTGAATAAGGATCAAACAATATTAACCTTATTTGAGGAGAATGTATTATGATAAAAAATTAAACAGGATAGCAGGAATAAGGTAGTCCTGTAATATAAGGCTACTACTCTGTGTTTTTGTTTTTGTTTTTAAATTCTCTCTCTCAAATAGTAATTAACTTAGTGGATGTTGTAGATATTTGGTTAAGGCTTCTTTTTGATTATTTATGGTCCTAAAGGTGTCTCTTTTTACCATTTAGGGATTGGGCTTTGAACAAAGGGAGGAGACATTTGAACCAGTTAACCCTGCATTTTACTGCCTTTTTATTTTACTTGCCTCTCTCTCGTGGAACCTTTTTAAATACATAATCAAGACCCTATAGCCCTTTGAGATGTGATGAAATCATAGAAGCTTAGAGAAAGGACCTTAAGGGCCTTCTCTTTTGGCCTTTTACCAGGGTGGCAATTTGTTCTCCTGTATCCCTATTAGATTGTTATTCGGGTACATATTGAATACTACATTAAAAAAAGCGTAGCTCATTGTTTAATGTATTCTGAGGAACTCTGGTTCCTCAGAAATTAGTAAATATTACTGAGGTGGTGTGTGAGTCGGGAAAATGTTCTGTGGTCAAATAATTTGGGAAATGCTGCATTAAACAAAGTTAAACAGGTTTCTTTACTGCAGGACTTCTCAGAACTTTTAATATGCTAATGTGCATTGTGAATGTATGGTATGCAGCATTCTTGAATACTTCTAATGACAGGGAGCCCACTACCATATAAGGTAACCCATTCCTTTTTTGTAAAGTTCTAATCCTTAGCTTTTCCTTAAATTGATCTGAAATCTATCTCCTGTAATTTCCACTTTTTATTAAGTACTTATTGATTATGTCATGACCACCACAGCCTTTTGTGTTAACCTTTGTGCAGTAAATATTTGTATGATTCTAATCAGGCTTATCTGGACTATTTTTATCATTAAATAGAATTCTGGTAAATGTAGCAGCCAATTCTAAAATCTCTGCCTCATTGTCACATTGCTCTTCTTATACACTACTCTCCAGCCTCCTTCACTTTGAATTTCTGTAAGTTTTTTTAATTTACTTCAATGTTCTTGTTTTTGGGTATAGGTGGGATGATTTTAGTAGATATGCTTGGTTTCTCTAAAGAAAGATGGGATACAGAAGAGCGTGTATATGTCAGCTAGGCCTGAGCCCAGGAAGCTGAGGTGGAAACTGTACATTAGAATAAACACTGTGGGTAGGGAAAGGTGCAAGACACTGTAGCAGACCTGTGAAGGGGATGTTATTGTGGGGAGACCCTGACTTGACCAAGGATACAACACCCTTGTGTTCAAATGGACAGACCTATGTAGGTATTCCTTTTTTGTCCTCTTTAAACAAGCACCTGACCCTCCATGGACAACCACCCCTCAGCTCCCAAGAAAATAACAGAGAAGGAAAAAAAAAAAGTTTTATACTCAGATACATTCAGATGCCATAAATCTAATTATTTGTGTTTTTGTGTGTATTAATTTAATGGCTAGGAAACATCATTCCCACTAGCCAAATGATTTTTGCAGCTATAATACCAGGATTTGAGGATAGTAACCTTGGCCAGATTCAAAGGGTAGCATCTAAAATCAGGATTACTAAGCTTTTGTGCAGTTGCATTTTTCGTTGACCTGTGGAGTGTCAGCAAAGAAATATCAGCATGAAAATAAGAAAACAAACGTTATATATTTTTAATGTCAGTTTTATTGATTCATGTTAGTACATGTTTTCAATAAATGCTATTAAAAGAATTCCATTTTTTTTAGCATCTGTGATAATCTTTAGTACTATTAAGTTAAAAGATGCTACTTTAAAGGTATTATTTATCTCCTAGAATGTTAGATACATAGTGAGTAATAATTTGTACAAATTGAAAGCTGGTATTTTAGTATTAGGCATGTGTCAAGTAAGGATACATAGATCTGTCAAGACTTCCTACTTTTTCATGTTTCAAAAACTTAAACCTACTGTAATTATTCTGAGAATATAGATAAAAAATGTAGTCTTACACCATGTAAACTGATGGTATAGAGAACACAGCTATCCATTTTTAGGGAATTCAGACTGGGGGCTTATACAATGTATTACAAACTTATTGCTAATTAAAGAAATTTGATCGATGATTTGAGTTTTGTTTGGAAAAAGGTTTATGTCAATGTTTTTTAGCAATAAATTCAGAGTTACACATTACTGTGTTAGTAGAATTATAATGAAACACAGGTCACATATCTGCAAGCAGATCATACCCAGAAAAATAGTTAGAGGCCTTTTTCTTAGAGAATTTGAAAATAGGAAAGCCTACAATCTTTTCAGCAATATACTATGTTGAGAAGTTTATAAAAGAGTGTTAGGTATATTAAGAATAGCATAGATCTTTAGAGTTACAAAGGGCTTTTCATAGAACTTCAGTTTATTTAAACCTCATAAGTTTTAGGAAGTAGGTGATAATATTCCCTTTTTTCTGATTTATAAGCAAACAAACATTAATGAGACCCTGAGGTTGAGAGTGGTCACACAACAAACAGGTGGAATAAGGTTTTGTTTTGGTTTTGGGGGGGGGGATAGTGCATGTTCTTACCAGACATCACAGCTGCCTTTTTTAATGGGATTTGATTGTTATTTTTATTCAGTTGGTTTGTAGAGTTTTTATTTATATTTTTGGTCTTTTGTTATTTGAAGGTGAGTGGCCATTAAGTGCCCCTGGTTTGACATGTACAGTGTCAAACATAACAAATGTTTGTATTTTGGGCTAGTCAGTTGCCCTCTTTGATGGTAGTATTTAAAGCTGTTGGGTGGAAAGGCATTGTACTTAAATAAAGTAAGTCTGTTACTATTTTGTGAGTCTGCTTATGTTTACCTTGTAGCAACTGATTAGTTTTGTATAGCTTATCAGAATTGGTTAAAATATGAAAAATCATCTTTTTACAAATGTAGCACATAATGCCTTTTTTATGGTATTATTAACTGCTCCTAAATGGTCTTCATATGATGGCTGCATGAGTTGTCTAAGCTCCCCAAATATTTTTTAAATAACTCAGCTTGTGCTTGTCATGTTTTTGTAAGCTATAAATATATGTATATAGTTTTTTAAGGCAGAGATGAATCTCTTAAAGTTATTAGGCAGAAGGAGTCCTTTTTGAAGGATACCTGGCGAATCTGTTAATCCTTCATAGGTTTTTCTGTAACAAGTCACTACCTTTTTTAATTCCTCAGTTTTATTTTGAAATAAAATGAGGAATTGGTGTTTAGAGTCCTTGCCAAGTAAAGTATTTCATAGTTCTTTCTTAGTAATTTGTGAGCACTCTAACTATATAAATTATGTTAACTCTTTGTTGTGTATAAGTTCCCCATGTTCTTAACCTGCTGTTTGTTTCCAGAGTTAAGATGAGTTGAACTATGATGTTGTGTGTTACTATCAGTAAATTATGTTTTGTGTTAACCACCAGTAAAACTTTTACTGGTAGTTACTGGCCTTTCTGTTGTTGAAAATACCTCTTTAACTTCAAGGTGATTCGTAATTTGACAAAAATTATAAGCAGTCATTCTTGGACACATTTTCTGATTAAAACCTTGCAAAAATTAAAATGAATTCAAGTACTGTTTTCAGGAAGACCTTTAGTACATTAAGTCAAGAATTAATGTAGGGAGATTTTTTAGTATTTAAAATTTAAGTGACTGTAGTTTTAACATTTGCTGTTGTATGTAGAATAAATTTACATGGCAACAAAAACCTTGGTCTAAGACAGTAACATAATTATTCTGATATGTATTTATTTATTTGTAGCTCCAAAAGTTTTCTAAGATACTAAGCAGCTAAAAAATACTTTAGGAATTTTGTTTGTTCATCAAAATATGTCTCCCTTTCCACATTCTGTCCCCTAAACATGCTACTTTTATGAAATTTTTTGGTGGACAATATTGTACAATTAACTCTTCCCTAGCCTTCACAAATCTAACTTTGAAGTAGTTTTCACTTGAAATTATTGTTTTTTAGGTTGGATATTTTGATACTATATAACATAAGTACATAAGCCCTAGGGGGGATTTTGCCAGTGATATTTTAAGCGTAGTGAAATTAAGCAAATGTAATGAAAACTAATATTCGTAAGAATACATTCTGTAGCTAATGATTCCATTATCACTCTGTTAATTCAGGTTTTAAGTAACTTAGGTGACTGTGGACTTGATCCATAGATAAATAATTTTGAGAGAGTGTAAAGATTATGAATCTCATTGAATTGAAGAGTGGTGGTTTTTCTGACTTTCT